TACACGGGTAGTAAATACTGGAGCCCACTGGAGCCAACATCCTGCAATGTCTCACCTGCAGATCTGCCAACGTCTCAAAGGCCGGGCCTACTGACCAGACATCAGGCATGTTGCCCGTCAGACAAGGCGGTGTTCCGGGCGGCGGCGGGGGACTGGCAGCCGCTGCTGGCGCTGGTGCTGAGCGACTGGGAGCAGTCAGGCTACCACCCGGGGTGAGAGCCGCCAGGTGGCGGCACGCCCCGCGGCCCTCGCCCCCTGGCTGCTGCCCCTGGCTTCCCACCCTCCTGCCCTGCCTGCCGCGCCGAGCAGAGGGGCATGGAGCACGCGGCAGAGGGCAGAGGGCTTTCGGGCGGCAACGGGGCCAGCTGCCGCTGCTGCTGCTGCTGCCGTGCCCCCTTGCAGCGCTGACCTGGCACCCTTGCCCCTGTGCCCCTGCCCCCTGCCTGCCCCTCACCCAGGCCTCCCCCCCGCTCCAGCCAGCTGTACGGCCGCATGGTGGCCCTGGCCCGCACCTGCCAGCAGTACGGCCGCTTTGGCGACGCGCGCCTGCTGCTGGGGGCGGCGGGGGCGCACGCCGAGCTGCTGGCGCTGTGCGTGTTCCAGGGCGACTTTGGGGGCCTGCAGGAGGCGGCGCGCAGGGTGGGTGGTGGTGGGCCCCGCGCCCGCGCCGCCGCCGCCGCCGCCGGCCGCCGCCGCGCGCGCCTCGCGCGGCACGCTTGCCGGCCTGCTTTCCTCCCCATTTCTTTCATGCCTTCCTAGCTCCACGCGCCTGCTGGCCTGCTAACCCCCCACCCACCCACCCGCATGCCCTCGCCCTCCACGCGCCCGCCGCCTGCCGCCCCGCCGCGCAGGGCGGCCGCAGCGCGGAGCGCCTGGCCGACCAGTTGCTGGCGGTGAACGAAAACGCGTTTGTGCACGGTGCCTCGGCGAGCAGCCTGTACGGCGGCCGGGCCAACGCCGACGACTGGACAGTACGGACCGCTGCTGCTGCTGCTGAGGAGGAGGAGGAGGAGGAGGGCGAGGTG